ACCCTGCATCCGCTGCTTACCGCACGAGAGGGCGGAGACTTGTGTGTTATAGAAATGCCACTGCCAATGGTGTCGGGAGGTAGGATCGTCAATCCTGACTTATTAGAATGCTCGTTTGTGCCTGTAGTGTCCTGGGTTGTGATCCCAGTATGCTGCATATAGGGGACGAATCGTGACGAGGAATGACAAGTCTTCGATCCCGCGACAGATTTCTTCGATAGGATGAGCTAAAATCGAACGAAATCTACCACTAAGTCATGAAAACGTACACTACTACGCTTGTGATTGTCTGTGAGAGTACTGATTCCGCTAAAGGCTTTAGGGTGCTCCCATTAAAAGGATGAACTAAATCAAAAGAACCTACCACTAAAACAAGGAAAGTATATTACTATCTGTATGCGTTCAATTCAAGGGATCCTTGGGTGTCGGGGATGCATACTGTAAGGAAGTCAAGGGTGATGAGAAAAAAAAGAGAACGTACGTAGTGTACGCTGGCGATCTGCATTGGTGATTACGTCATGTACATTAATCTTCAACTTGTTGTGATGCAGTCGCGTGAACGTAGATAGGCATAGATAGGCTAAGTAGTGTAGGCTGGGCGCTGGGCGACAAACTGTAGGACCAACATTGAATGTTGTGTTAGTGTGACCATAGAATGTCGACATTGGCACGCAAGTTCATTGTATTGCCCTTACTTGGATTATATCTTTGGTGCATTGTGTTACTTGCTTGGTACATGACTATCTGGCTAATTCGCGAATTGCAATCCAATTTTTTGTTTCTCCTACTGTTCTCAATCTCTTCTCCCATCTTTGATTTAGATACCAAAAATGACAAAACTTTTAGGCGCTATTTTGACCTCGATCATACGCTGCAAAGAACGTCGCACCGGGGTTAGTCCCCGCGAAGCCCCCTCGAGGCAGGCCAATTCGGGTCTAACCCTCTGAACGGCCGGAAATGACGGTCCGTTGATGTGCCGAGTGCCATTTTTTAGGGTTACCCGTAAGGTCCAGCGCGCCCAAAATCAAGGGCGCCCTGAGGTCCCCTAATCTCCGCCGCCTGGTCTAACCAGAGTACCGTCAAAACTCAGACTCGTCTTCGCGCCTAACTCCCAAGACCGTTGATTTCAGGCGGCGCACTGCTTGTGGCCGCCTGACAGTTAGCCCAGACCACTTCTCGACGCCCCCGTCGAGCCCTAGCAACTTACGTCAGACGAAGCGGATGAGCTTCAGGGTTATGGCCCGTAAAGGACACCCACGTCGGCGCTCAATTGTCTTATGTTTAAGTTTGTTACGAGTCCTGGGGCTAAGAAGATGCTTCTTGATTCTCTTGTTTCTAGGTTTTTTGTCTCGGCATGATCCTCTTTTTCTTCTGTCTTTGCCCCGAGAATAGTATCGACCCGCCAGTACGTCTAACGCGAACTCTCCGTCTAGCTCGCTTGAGTACGAATAACCATCTCTTCTCTCTTCCTAAAGCTAACCCTTTGACCTTTCTCTTCTCTATTCTTTTCCTTTTTTTGGAACTCTCCTTTGCCTTGAATTGCCTCAAGGGGGCTCCATCCTCCATCATGGCTTTCCCTTTCCCTTTCGGGCTGGTTAGCGATAAAGCGGGCGTGGGCCTGGGCCTAAACAGCTTTAACCTAGCCCCCGCCACTCGGTCCTTCCACTTAGATCCGTCTAGTTCTGCTATCATATATGCACCCCAGTCAAGTGCCTCAACCACTCTGTAAGGTCTCATCCATCTATTGGCAAGCTTTCCGGTCCAGGTCCTCTCCAGTGCCGCGTCGTAGAGAAGGACCAGATCTCCTACGCTCACCCTCTCTTTCCTGATTCGGACGTTCTTATCCCATCTCTCTTTACTCTTGTCGCTTTCCGCCGCCAGACAATCGGCTGCTGTCATGAGGTTGTCTTCCAACCCGTAGGCTATCTGTCTTGTTCGGGCAGCTAAGAGTTCCTCTCTGGACATCTCCTCTGCCCAGTCGACGGTTGTCCAGCTGTCGACGTGAAACTCTATGGGAAGCGGACAATGTCGCCCAAACCACAAGGTGTACGGTGGGTATCCGGTACTAGCCCGGACCGTGACGTTGTCCGCCCATATTGCGTATCGAAAATATAGTGGCCAATCACTGTCCTTACCCTTGCACCACTTGGACAGTGACGCTATCAGAGTCTGGTGTCCCCTCTCTACTGGGGAGTTCGACTTGGATTCACTTTCGGATCAAAGCGTCCTACAGTTAACCCGTATTTTATATTATACTATACGTGGGGAAGCGCGCGAATGTACGCTGTTTGTTTTACTTCCTGCCTGCCATTGAAACTAAGTGGTAAGGTCAAAATCGGCGGATACTGACCGTATGGGAGTTGATTACCCATCTATTGATATTGATTGGGGGACAGGTGACTAAACAACAACTTACAACGTTAAAGCCTATAGGTGATACCGGCGAGATCCAATTGGTTTGTTTGATGTACCTATTGGAAGTCAGAGGACCCATAAAGATGTCTTAGATTCAATCAATTTTTTATCATTATCGAGTATCTTAGTAGGAGTAAAAATGAATTAATAAAAGAATTGGATTTTTTTAACAGATAAARACTAAAAAACTTAATCTAAACCTATTTTTTATGTTTCTAGTGTATTCTTTGTCTATTTTCATAGTTTTGTTGTAGACTACTCATAATTARARTGAAGAATAAATAATCAAATTATTATGCAATCAATCTTCTTTACAGTAAATATAAACAATAAAGCAACATTGCATATAATTAAAAATTAAATGAATATTAGTCATTAAAGATATTCTTTGAACTCTTCATTAACATTGAGTATTATGTATTCTTGTTCCTATAAAAAAATGAGGATCCAATTCAATTAAAGGTGAATTACAAATAACCTTTGTTTTGTTTGTATATCCTGATACTTATTTGATTGATTTGATGCATCCAGAAGGATTCGAACCTGCGAATTCTCCAATTATGAGTTGGGCGCTTTAACCGCTCAGCCATGGATACATTGCATATATGAAGAATAGATATAGGTACAATAAGAAAAGATGTTTATAATGTCAATGAATTGCAAGAAAAAGTAAAGTGAAAGATATACCGGCGTATCTTTTCGTAGGTTCCTTTAACTCCCCTGTGTCCTCCGACTACCCCATCGTGAAGTTCCGCAACTATTGTCTGTCTCCCTCAGGATCACAAACTACTCGTAAGGGCATTCCCGACCTTACTGGCCTTCGGAAAAGGTGGCCCGCTCTAAGGCAGTACTGGGCTGCTTGCCTCCGGATTTCTGAGTGTTGACTCTCCTCTCCCGTCAGGTGTAGTCCGATTATTCGGTACTTGCCCTCGTAAAGATTAGCTAGAAATCTCTCGGCGGGCCTTGGCTCTGCCATTGTCAGAGCCCCAGCTACTATCGGACGCTCGAGAGGGATGCGTGAAAGTCCATCTGCCACGGCATTTTTAGTACCAAATACTCTTTCAACCGTGTAATCATATAGCCGAATCCGTATTAACCATCGGACGATGGTCGGGTCCGTCAGACTAAAGTCCTTCTGGAGGACAGAGGCAACTGCGGTGGAGTCTACTCTCAAGATGAACCGTCGCCCATAGATATAGTGTCTGAACGTGTCTAGACACCGGAGAACAGCTAACACTTCCTTCTTGAATTGACTGTAGTTACGCTCAGCCGTATTAAGTGCCCTACTCTCAAATCTTAACGGTCTTTCCTTCCCTCCGGCGTCCTTCTGAGACAGCAAACCACCCACTGAACATAGTCCAGCATCCGTGAACACTATGAAGGGTCTCTTGGTCTCATCGTCAAAGAATGGCACACCCAACACGCGTCCTCCTTCCTTAAATTCGTCTTTAAGTTCTTGTATAGCAAGTTCCTGCGAAGAATTTCAATAGAAGTTTTCTGTCTTTCGAAGGAGTAACCTCAACGGCTCAGCCTTCTCCGCATACCCCCGTATGAATATACGCCAGTAACCTACCACTCCTAGAAACTGCCGGACCTTGGTTGGGCTATGTAACGGTGAGGGCCAGTTCAGAAGTTTGTCTAACTTCGCCGGATCTGTTCGGCGTCCTCTCGAGTCACAGATAAAACCCAAGATCTTAATAGTCGAGACGGCCCATCGGCTCTTGGTTCCGCTGACTGTTAAATTCGCATCGTCCAGCTGCTCGAGTACCGCGCAAATGTCTTTTAGGTGTTGCTCGACGAATCTTCTAACTCCAGGTATAACCTCTGTCTCATCCCTGTCTACTAGCCCTTTTATAGGAAAGTCATCCAGAAAAACTTCAACCTTATCAGGGATGAAGTCCTTGAGGACGGCTACCATGACTCTCTGAAAAATGGCTACCCCATTAGTCCAACCCATAGGGACAACCATCATTTGAATTAGTCCCAATGACGTATGCATAGCCGTGAGGTGTCTGTCCCTAGGGTCAAGCGGTACCTCATCATAGCCTGAGAACAGATCACAGACCGAATAGATCGACCTACCTGCTGCGCCTTCTGCTAGTAAATCGGCGTGTGGCACGGAGCCCACGTCTCGTATCGTCACCGCGTTGACCTTCTAAAGGTCCTGGATCCATCGGATCTTGCCATTCGACTTTCGTAGGAAGAACCATCGATTTGCATAAGCGTTATCAGACGGCTCCGCAACGTAGGAAACCATTTTTTCTTTCAGGAAGACGATTACTTCTTCCTTCTCCTTCTGGGCGTATTTCCATCCCGCGTCGTTCCAGGGAACATGTGGTATCGTATAAATCATTGCTGGCTTAGTGTATCGAGGGTCAATCCTACCTCGCTCCGCGTCACTAAAAGCTATGGCCTTATCACATGTCTTCAGGATTTCTATCACACGTTCTCGCTCCTGTGGGGTCAGATTTCCATCTCCGATGTCCATCCCTGCTATTCTCTCTTCCGTTAGGCGTTGTGGCTCCTTTTTCTTTCTTTCTTTGATTTCTTTCGCGATCTCTTCTTCTGATATCCCTTCCAGTGCCGATCGCTCGCGGCCCACCGCCGCTGGCTTAACTTTTTGAGCTACTCGCTTGTGTCGCTTGGGTAGCCCCCCAGAGGGGGCCGTGCCCTTAAAAAAGACACGGATACCACACCGCCAAATTCCTCATCTCTTTCCTTTGGGTACGAGTTGCCGTCCACTATTAGCCGACTCCCTAAATCTTCCACCTCCACGATCCGACCTTCTTCCTCTGTAAGCACTGGTCCGAATCTCTTCTCGTGAAATCGCACCGCGCGGCCGGAGATAGGTAACGACTTAATCTGATCACTGGGTCTTGCACCCACAGCGAGAGCTGCTCTGTTCCTCGGGTCCCGAGGCTTCACTGTCTCAATCATCACCCGCGTCCCGTCTGGCTTTCTAATGGACAATGTTTGGCTCCCATTAGGTCGCTCTATCGTCACCGCACGCACGTGGCTCAACCACGTCCGACCCAAGAGCAGGTCGGAGCTACAGTTCTTGACTGCAAAGACAGGCAGGGTCACTCTTACCCCTTGGACCTCTATGGCTGCCTTGTGACAAACCCCAGTGATCTGTTGCTTTCTCCCATCAGCCGTCTCTATCTCGAATAGGTATGAYCTATCGAGGCCCAGTCCAACTTGTACTGCCAGGTCCTCGTCTATGATGACAGCCTCACTGCCGTTATCAATCACAGCATCGAGTATCGCTCCATCGTTTATAATCGTCTCTACGGCCCCGCTACCAAGTATATAAAACTTGTCTGGAGGCACACCCTCCATCCCATCGAGAAGGACTGTCGTCATGCGATCCGTTGTGGCAGTCACCCCCGTTACCGCTACTTTAGAAGCTTCCACTTTAGGGGCCCCCTGACTCTCCTCTGATAGAGGTATGCGAGTCTTCCGCGTGATCATCTGTAATTCATCACGAGCCGGCTTCGATGCCGCCAGGTACTCCAGAATAGAACACTGCATTGGTTGCCGAAGGGCCCGCCTCAATGGTTCAACCGTGTCAATCTCGTCCAGCGAACTCTTCATTAAGAACTTCTTCACTCCCCTCTTTCGCGGCGAAAGGATAACCTCCTCTCTATCGACTCGCTGCACGTCCTTCTCCGTCATCACGTAATCCGTGTCAGTCTTCTTCGATGTAGACCCTCTTGCCGACTTGGTGGCTGCCACCCTTATGGGTGTGGTCGCGATATCTCCCTCAAAGATTATCTTGATGCTCTGGCTCCTGAACGGCTCCATTCCCTTACTCGTCTTTATTCTCCTTGCTTCGACATTCTCCTTCATCGAAGGAAACATCGATACATCTCCCAGATCATCTGCCCACTTGACGTACTTCCGGTCGTCAAGCACGACAAGTCCCTCATCTATTGCCCGTTTGAGGACCGGGCAATCCCTCTTGATATGATCTTCTCCTCTACAGTAGACACATGAGTTCCTGGGAGTAGATGGCCTATCGTCTGCGCCTCTAGAGATCGAACTCCTGACGGCCTTGGGGTTAGGCGACTTAGGATATGGTTCTGATGAGACGCCATATCCCCCTCTCTCATTTCGTCCGCGCAAATCGTTGCGCCGGTCTCCTCCAGACCCTCCTTGCTCATACCGCCCTCGCGAATCATTCCGGCCTCATAGCGAGGGCTTCGAGGGTAATCATCTAGCCTCCTTGCTCGCACAAACAGTTCGCTATCTCTGCGGTCGCGGTCTATCTCATCGTCCCTACGTCGCCATGGCTCATCGTCTCTCTCTCTTCCGCTAGCACGATAATCAGTCAGCGTCCGGGGATTTCTATCCTCGACACTTCTCCAGGAATCGTTGTTCCTACGGTCCCAGCGAAGTGAATAGGGCCCTCCAGGTTTGTTCCCGTAGGCCGTGGCCCCTGTAATGGTCACAATCTCTGTAACCTGTCTTGTTAATCCTTTCACCATGTTCCGTATCTCCTTCACTTCCTCAACCACGGCCTCATTCTTCTCCGACCAGGGATAATCCTTGAAATCAGGACATCTATCAGTGGCATACTCCTTGTAGAGAGAGAAGTCACGTCTCCTCATCCCTCTCCACACCAAGTCCTTGTAATCGTCTGCCTCTGTCTTTATCGCGAGCTTTATGACTTCTGGGAAATCAAGCCTGTCACGCGGAAGATCTCTAAGTATACTCTTTTGCCTACCTTTGGACAAGTGTCCGATGAAGATAGTACAGCGCTCGACCTCTGAGATCTTCCCCTTCTTCATCAGCACGTCGGAGATCTTTTGGGAACGCATCCCAAATGCCCGTACGCTCTCATCTTCATCTTGAGTCATTGTTTCAAGGTCCTTGATGAAATACTTGTTATCCTCCAATTTGTAATGCTCAACACGGTTTTCCTTGTACGTAGTCCATTTCCCATCCTTCGGTCGAGCTTCCTTAACTTCCCAACCAAGACTTGGGTCCACATCAAATAGGAAGTTTTCTATAATCTCTTCCTCCGACCACTGACTCCGACTGGCGTGAAGCTCCCACTTCTCCAGATATTCTGTGATACCATAACCCCTGAAGGTAGGAGGCTCTGAGGCCTTGTGCGTAATAATATAGCGATCCTTGCTCTCGTAAGGGAGTG